AAATTTTTTTTTAAAGTTTTCAAATTTTGACCCGGCCGGGTTATGAAAACCAATTAATTAATTTTGCATGGCCTAATAAAAAATTTAATTACTATAAATATTTAAACTTTGAACAAAAGTTATCTAGCATTTATTTGATTAAATTTAATCAAATTTTTTTGTTCTAAAATTATAAAATCATTATATTTAAGATTAATAAAAAGAAAATTACGGGTAAATCCCCTCCCCTATTATTTTTAGGGTTAGGGTGCAATTTTAGAATAAAGTAGATTAGACATAAGGTCCCAATTTCAGTTCTCGTGATGTTTTCTGGGGTCCTGAACATTTTTACTTAGGCCCCGACCATAATTACTTATATAGTACGTTATTGAGTTATAGCACCCCCGGTGAAAATTAGAAATTGCCATTATATAAATCTCTATTTTATATTAAAATTGCATCTTGGCCCTAAAAGTTATTTTCTATAATTAATTATATTAATTTATTTTGTACGTATAACAAAAATTTGGCTATTATATTTATAACTTGCTACGTATATATATAATCGTTATTTACATTTGGTTTGTTACACGATATCCTGTAATTTTATTGGTCCCGATCTGAATTTTAGTAATCTTCAGCCCAGAGTTTGCTTGGGCCATAATTGTTAGTTACAAATTTAATAAATTTGTTCTGATATTATTGATAGAAATGGGACACGTGTATTGGGTTATTATCCCAAATTAAGAAGAAATTCCAATTCCCAAACCCAAATTAAAGTCAAAAAAAAAACAAAAAAGGTTTGAGTCACAACCCTAACTCAACCATGATAATTTATTTCACAATTAACTTCTAATCGTTTCAATTGTGCTTTTAGCTCTTTTCCAATTTTTTCGCAATTAGCAATCAAATACTGTTCAAACTCTCTCCTTATGTTATTTAGTTCTTGAGTTATTGGTAATCGTCCGTCTGAACGAACTAATGATGGGTTCAGTAGCATATCAAATAACCTACCCCATAGGTTTCCTTGCCAATAGCGTTTGAAAGATTGTATTGGCTTATATTTTTTTGTCGAAATAGTTGTACCTGATGAGAATGAATCAACATCCATTCGTACAGGAGTAATCTGCATATATTCATTATGTAACATACAATGTATTACACCAGCCAGACCATAATAATCTGCTTGCCATTTCCATGGTCTACCTTCTCTCATCTCCACGCAATTTTGGTCATCACATTTCCAATCAGCTATAAATTTCATATCAGGAGGAAATAATGTAGCATCGATTGCTCTTCCAAAGTCGATTAGTTTAATTCCTTTCTTTGACCAACCACCAGCACCTGATGGATCATATTGAGCATCCCACTCAACTGTTCGTTCCAACCTCAACAAACAATTGTCCGCTTTTATATCACCATGAATTATTCCCGCTTCATGTATTGCTTCAACTATTTTCATAAGTTCAACAGTGAAAAAAATTACCAAAATTTCATCCATTGTAGAATTCTCTCTTTTAGCCGTATTTATAGCATCCACGATCGTTCCATGAGAACAAAGTTCAGTGAGCAAATAACTTTCATCTTTATAATAATACAAAGAATGAGCAGTTATTATAGAATTGATTGTAGGTGAAATGATTCTTTCATGTAATTTTCGGATTATATAAAATTCCCAAGCCGTGGAAGGTATTTGAAGTTTTAAAGCACGTGATACCCGGGGGTCTTTATGACTTTCGGTCATGAACTTCATATCCAATACACGATAAACTTTGCCATATGCGCCTTCACCAATCTTTTGACGGATTAAAAAGGAGTCATTAAACAATCTGATTGGTTCATCTAAATTTGTTGCATTACTGGTACGACGCCGACAGTTTTTATCCCAATTTCGAGCAATTCTTTCTAACTTAGCGTGATTATTTGAATATTCGCCTCTCATATCATAAAAACCAGGATATTGTAACAATGAAGGACTTAAAGATGACAAAATTTTGTCAATTAATCTAGTCTCAAGTGGGTTACAAGGATTTGAAAGTACCGGGAATAATTGAGTAGGTTTTGTAAAGAGAGATTCACCAAATTGTTCTAAATTTTTAGACTTTGGCGTTTCAATCACAGATCCTAAATCTAAAGTTATAAAACCATCTGATTGATATATAGATGTATTGGAGGTTGATCTATACTCTCGACTAGTCTCTTGTATTGGTGTTAAGAGTTCAAATGGAACCATTCTAAAATTACCATGATTATCAGAATAATTTGGTGGAGCAATATTTTCATCATTTACAATATTATTCCGAGGAGTTCTGTGAATAAAAAGTTTGTCATATTTTGATGCAGATGTTATATCATCTTCATCTGTATCATCATCAGACTTTTCATAGTTCATTGGTTGATTAAAAAACTCCATTATATCTGCCAAAGCAGCTTTAGTGTTAATAGTTGGAGATGGCTTTTTTGTAAGTTTCTTTGGAGAAATTGCTAGACAATTGAAATAAAAATTAAATTAATAAATAATAAATATATTTAATAGTTATAATTACAAAAAGTACTTACACCTAGGACTTGACACAGGAATAGCTTGATTATATTCACCGACTTCATGAGTTGATCTTGACTCGGGAATAGATTGATTGTGTTCTCTAATATTATAATTTGCACTTGACACAGGAATAGCTTGATTATATTCACCGACTTCATGAGTTGATCTTAACTCGGGAATAGACTGATTGTGTTCTCTAATATTATAATTTGCACTTGACACAGTAATAGCTTGATTATATTCACCGACTTCATGAGTTGATCTTGACTCGGGAATAGACTGATTGTGTTCTCTAATATTATAATTTGCACTTGACACAGGAATAGCTTGATTATATTCACCGACTTCATTAGCTGATCTTGACTCGGGAATAAATTGATTATATTCTCTAATATTATAAGTTGTACTTGATACATGAATAGCTTGATTAGTTTCATTTGCTACATTGACGTTTGATCGACGAATGATAGCATCTTTTATAGGAAGTAAAATTGAGGAACGATTATTTTTTAAATCAGATTCGTTTTTCAAATTTTGATCCATAGATACTAATTTATTAATATTATTTTCGTCATTATCCACACACATTCTATTATCGTAATCGCAGGGAATTGTTGATTGCCGTTTTAAAGTCATTGCTCGAAGTTCTTCAAAAGAAAATTCGTTCCCATCAACATAAATAGTATTAAGATCTACAAATGATTTCTCATTCCGAAGTTCATCATGATAAATTTTTAATTTTGTAGTTGGCACACATGGCTTTTTGGCTTGAGGCAACGTTACTCCTTTCCATTTTTCAGCATCCCTAATGTTTTCTTTTTTATTAGCAATCTCTGTCCCATAATTATTCCATGAAGAATTATTTCCCGCTAATACTAATGCGGCATTCCCTAATTCACCATTTGGGTCATGAAATACAGAAAATTTCTCGTTATTCCTGTCAAAATGGTCATGTTGATAAGTAGTTAATCCAGCGATACTTGGAAGTGTAGAATTTCTTTGATTAAAGATGTTTAACGGAACTGATTGTGCTGATGAAGCAGAAGTTTTTATACCAAGAATTGTTCGATGTGAATTATCAATATGAGGAACATTTTGGGATAATTCTAAATCATGTATATTTCCCTGGCGGGATAAATTTAAACGCTCTTTAAATTGTCTGTATCGACGAATAAGACGTTCTAGTGGTTGAGCTTTTTTATTAATTCCTGATATAAATATTTCTTCCGCATCATGATATCTATAAAAATATTATAAAAGTTGATTAATAAAAAAATAAAAAACATATAAAAATTGATTTTGTTGGTGAAATCTAATTCACTGGAAACGGGCCGAAATTATGCAGAACTAAGCAGAATTATTAAGAACATTCAGATAACAAAAAAGATAGCAGTCCAAGTTTATCTGAAGTAATAAAAAATGTCAAGAATGAAATTTTGTATATAACATTGACTCTAATCTTAACCACCAATTGATTCAACACTGATAATAGTCAATACAGCGTTGGCCAATGACCTAAGTCATAAATTTTTGATACTGTATGACCTTGATCATAGTCATATTAAATACTAATAAAAAGTTGTTTTTTTTTACTATGATTCTTATTATATTAAAAGATCATGCAATTTTCATTATGACCAAATGACCAGATTGACCTATGATAGATTATAAAGATCATATGGACCATTTAAGGTTATCGGCCAGCACTCGTCAATTGAATGTTAAATGTATAATTCTGACCCATTTCCAAGAAATTTGAACTGTTTTTTTTTTTAATAAAGAAGATAATCACCTTTCCATACTTTCCAGCAGTTCAGCATATTCCTCGTAATAAGCAGCTAAATTAAGGCCAATTTCGTTGGTCTTCAAGAAATCAAATAGTTGTTTTGTTTTTCCGACAAAACTTGCATATTGCAACCAGCATCTCAGATATCTTGGGTCACTTTTATAACGCGAATCATTGACGAAACTTAGAGAAGCGCGTTCCAAAAGTTGGATTAAATTTGACTGAGGGGTTTGGCCTTGGGGATAATTTTCAATCGTCCATTTTATGTAACGATGATAAACATCAAAAGGATCGTCAAGTTCATTGAGATTTTCAAGCTCTGCCTTGAATTGAGCATGACCAGCTTGTAAGTCAATTTCGAGAGAATAAGGATCACCAGAGAAAACTCGAGACAAAGAAGCACTACTTCGACCTTGTTTTAAAGGTAAAATATTTTCCTTTTGATGTTCGAATGAAGAGAATTCGGGTATACAATTAACTTGTTCCTGTGATGTCGAGGGCTGATAAGTTTGTGGAGGAGGAGAATTAGACGGTTTACATTGATCGTGGTTAATAAGCGAATAAACATCCATATTGATAGCGAAAGTTAAGTGACTAAAAAATGCCAGTGCATTTATTTATAATGCATATTTTGTTTACGTCACGCGTCAGAATTTATCACCTGATCACAGGATTAGAGCATTTTAATTTCGATTATCATATCTGATAAAGCATTGGGGTATTTTATATATTAATTAAATAATCAAGTATATGTATCATTACTAATACAGTGAAACCTCTCTAAGTACACGTCCTTGGAACCAGACTATAGCGTGTACTTAGAGAGGGTGTGCATTTATAGAATTAGTATTTTTTCCTACTCTACTACAACAATTGACAGTATTTCGAGTCTTTCCGATGACCATGCTCATCTTTTGTGTTTATTTATTATCTACCTCACAGAAATATCCGACAAAACTACCATTCTAATTGGTAGAATATTTGTGTTGTTCACGTGTGTACATTTATAGAGGGTGCACGTATAGGTCCGGAGGATGAACTTAGTATTAAATCCCAAGCTTGGGACTGGGCTATAGTGTGCACTTAAAGAGAGTGTGCACTTAGGGAGGGTGCACTTAAGAAGGTTTCACTATATAGATTTTTTACATATTATTTGAAAATTCTGCACCCATGTAGATCCTAACTATACTCCTGGCAATGTTATTTAGCCAATAAAATTCAAGATCTATGTGTAATAAAAAAATTATTAATATTGATTGTGTTAATATTACTATTAAAATAAAACTACTATGTTTAATAATAAAAAAACTAACTTTATCTACATATAAATAACTCTTTAAAAAGATTATTTGCTTTTTTTTTTTTAATATTTAGAGAAATACTTGGGTGTAGCACCTGCCCCAAACTTTTATTAATACTTACACAGGTTGAATCAATAAATAACAGGTACATATCAGGAGACAAATCTCCCGATATATACTCATTATTCTACCATAGATCTGCCAAATAACTGTAGTATATTGGTAGCATATAGGTTAGATATCGGGAGGTAGATTGATAATGGTAACATAATAGTAACATACTGGGACATCCTGATATCTTACTCTTAGTCCATATAGTGCTAAGAGTAAGATACCGGGATGTCCCAGTATGTTACTTTTATGTTATCATTATCAATCTACCTCCTAATATCTAACCTATATACTACCAATATGCTATTGATATGCTACAGTTATTTGGTGGATCTATAGTAGAATAATAGGTGCATATCAGGAGATTTGTCTTCCGATATGTACTTGTTATTTATTGATTAAACCTGTATTAAGTGAATTGACATATAGTAGTGCTATAAACATATACATATTCTATATTAGTATTAAAACTAGAACTTTAGATATACAAACCATTTATCTATAGCTAAAACTCACCAAAGCTATTAACATTTCTACATATATGATTAATCTGGATTTTGTATATTCTTACTCATCTCCAATTAACTTTTATATATTTTTTGCTTTATCTACTTTATCTACTATCTCAACTTCCAAATTGGTGTGTTAATACTTTAGATAATCACTTTTTGCTTTCAATTTAGTATACTTAGTTTGTATCTCTACTTGGCATACTTGTTAGAGATTTGTAACTTAAGCCATACAGCTGCCTCTACTATATTAAATAAGTATCTCAAGCCTGCATGCTATATAATCTCCAACTTTTTTGCAACTTTTAGAACCCAGATCTTAATATATCAAATTTAACAATTATGCAAATAGCTATATAGGCAGCCGTCAATAGAAATCAAGCAAATCTACATTTGAAAAAAAATTAATATTTTAACTTTCATAGCTCATATCTTGATAAATTTTTAAACTATCTTGATGATTTAATATTCAAAATAAAAAGCTTAGAATTTATGCTTTATTTTGAATATCAAATCATTAAGATAGCTTTAAATCCGTCAAGATATAAGATGTGAAAGTTAAGGTATTAATTTTTTTTCAAATGTAGATTTGCTTGATTTCTATTGACGGCTGCCCATATTTCTTTCTATAGTAGTGAGGTGTCTAAGCATGTTTTATAACAAGTTATTCTGCACTTCCAGAGCCTTTTATAGTTAAATGGCATCATGAGGCTTAGGAGTTCATAATAGATATATTATTGTTTCTTTTTATAATGATTCTTAGCAATTGTAGCCCCCAGTTATACACTACATATACTTGTACTAGCTACACTAGTTTTGGTAATTTTAGGCTTTTGTAATATTTGAAAACTTCTATATAAATATATCCAGAGCTCTGTTGAGTTCTAACATATACACACCTTCATGCTTTAGCCTCTTTTTGGTAAATAATTCTACACAATATCAGAGATGTTCCAAATCTGATAAGGTTAATTTATTACTACAGATCCCTTTATATTTACCACTTTTCTTACTACTCCAATTCTAGTTACTACCCAGTTATTCTTCCAAACAAAATCTCAATACTACCTTAGAGTTATTGATACTATCTATACTAATTAAGAATTTATATATACAATCTTTGTATAATAAAACCTTCTGTAACAACTATAGTTATACATAGTGCCAACTTCTCTACAATAAACCTCTTTCTAGAAATTTTTAATCCAGATTTGTACTCACTTGGACTTCCTATAGCAAGTATATTCAAGTATTTGTAGAATTTATATCTACTGAGACTTAAACCCAAAACTTGTTCATAAAGAGTTGGGTATCTAAACCACTAGGCTATAAGATCCCAACTTCTAAAAAAATTATTTGCAATTTGTTTTTATGCAAATTCAATTAAAAAACTAACAAAATAAAATCTTGTTACTTATAAGCTATTCTATTTTTACTTTAAACTTCTTTTATTTGTTCATTAGTAAATTGAAATTCTTTTATTTTGGTTGCTAAAAGGCACATTTTAGATTGCTAAGTCTCAGCAATCATATTAAAGTAGATTTTTAAATTCTACTTGTTAAATAAACTCTCAATCTATTGCTAATAAATAATAATATACCAAATCTTGTTTTTAGCAAAGTTGTAGAGCTATAGATATTAGTAAAGTAGATCTATTGGTTTATTAACAAAAAAGCTAAATTTTTGAAAGAATAATTTTTTAGTTAATATATTTTTTAAACCAAAATTATTAAAATGTTTTTTTATAATATCTTTTTCAAAAAACTTTATATAGCAAAGTTCTTCTAAACTAAAAACTTCTAGTCAAGGCTTTTTAAAAACAATATGCTAGTAACTATATACAAATTGTTTAGCATTATCTCTGCCAAGACAATGTATAATTAAGAGAAAATGAAGCCAACAATTTATCTACTTTTGATATAATTCAAGTCATTTTTATATTTCTTACTTTAATATTTAAACTAATAACTCAATTTTAAAATTATCTATAACTTCTATACTTTACAAAAGCTTATTATCAAAAAACAAATAATGATTTTTTAAAATGCTTATAAATTTATATATATATTAAGTTAATAACAAAATTTGGTATTTAATAAGCCTATAACTAGATAGCAAATATTGTAACAAACTATTAAATTATACAATTTATAGTTGAGGATTATAACTAATAAGAAATTTGATATATGAGTAATAAAATTTTTGGCCAAATTTAACTAAATATTATATTTTAATATTAGTTTAAAATTGTTTAACTATTTATTAATTATATTTTATAATATAAGATTAAAAAGCTTTTTTTTTAAAAGAGGTGTGGTGACCTAGTGAAGTGGTGGGGTTGCTGCACCCCCAAACGGCAGGTCTAGAGTTCGAATCCCACGGACGACGATTTTGAAAAAACTAGATCTGTATC